ATAATAATTTATAAATTATCAAGGGTTCATGGGGAAGGAGGGAGGGGGAAGGGAGGGGGTGGGGAAAAAAGGAAAATGAGCTGATTGCGGGAACCCAAGAGGAAAGCGAATTTTGGGAATGATGAGGGCAACAAATGTATAGATGTACTTTACACAATTGATCTATGTATTGTGATGAACTGTATGAGCCCCAATAAATTGATTAAAAATAAATTTTAAAAAAATCAGAGAGAAAGAAGTGAAAAATGGTCTTTGTACACAACATATCTTCTGCTCTGCTGCCCCTGTCCTTGACATTTACCTCTCCCTCTGTGTGATGAGGGCACACAGAATGTGAATGGCTTACTGAAAGTTTCACAGCCAATTTTATTTATTTATTTATTTTTTAAAAATCAATTTATTGGGGCTCATACAATTCATCACAATACATAGATCAATTGTGTAAAGCACATCTATACATTTGTTGCCTTTATTATTCCCAAAATTCGCTTTCCTCTTGGGTTCCCGGAATCAGCTCATTTTTCCACAGCCAATTTTAAATGGAGGCAAGACTAGAAAGCAGGGCTCCTCACCTCCGGATGCAACAAGACGATAGTGCTTAAAGCCACTAGCTCTGGAATCAGACTGAACTTTGATTAAAATTTGGGGTTGAGCAATCTCCGAAGGGCCCCAGAGCCACAAGCATAAAGTGCTCAACTGCCAATCAAAAGGTAGGTAGTTGAAACCCACCCAACGTGGCTTTCATCTTTCTCAGTGGGAGAAATATCTGGATTTCTGCTCCTATAAAGATTGGAGCCTAGAAAGTCCCATGGGGGAGTTCTACTCTGTTACATGGAGGGAGCGTGACTAAAACGGCACCGAACCAAAACATAGGAACCAGCCGGCACCAGGAAGTTCCGTAAGTTCTTTCGGGCTCAATTACTGCACCTCTAAACTGTGAATAATAATTCAGACTTCCCAGAGATGTTTTGAAAATAGGAAACAATATATGTAAGTAATGTGGTGTATGGTAAATAATCAATCAATTAAATGGTGTTAATGATGATGATGAGCATGAAAATGAAGAAGATGCAATCCAGATGCAAAAGGCCAGTGCTCTACTCTTCCATTCGATCCTATGCTGGCTTAAGACAAACCCCTGCCCATGACCACTCAGCTGCATCCTCATGCAGCCTCACACACTCGTCTGTACTTGGTTTCTACACACAGACAAATTATATTCCTGGTTAGTTATGTTCTAATTACTATATCCGAATGGTGCAAAACGTGCCTATCTTTGAAATGTCCATTGAACCCAAGTGATACATCATTCCTGTCATGTGAGTTCTGTCCATCAGACATTCAGCCACTAGTGAGGGGGAAACATCCTATTCACATGACTTCTAGTTGGCAAGTCTCATGGGGTGTCTTTAATTATTATCTCTCAAATCTAGGCTCCTCATGGCATTGGCCCTTGCTCAAACTTCCTCATCTATACTTTTCAAACGCCTACAGTTTCCTCCCTAACCTCCATGATTCCAGCTCCGCTCCTTTTCTTTGCTCTTTCCTACGCTGAAGTCAAGAGTTTTCTTTTCAGGATGCATATGTGTGTGTTTTCAATCCAATGGTTTCAAACAGCCAGTATGGTCTCATTCAGTCAACAGGTCCCATCGCTCCTCCTACACAAATTGCTCGTGATGTCTCTCTGCCCATAAGCCCTTTCCTCTCCAACCGTCTCCTATGAAGACGCTCCTGAGACTCGCCTTCCAATAGCAGAGGCCAAGGCACAAATCCTTCCCTATGTAAATCAGTCCTTAGAAGAGCTATGTATGAAGAGCTTTTGTTTTCTGAGCACCCAGTTATTTCACCTATATTGTCCAATTTCATCCTTCCGACAGCTTTTGGAGGTAGCATATGAGGGAACTTCAAAAAGTTAATAGAAAAATTCCATTACCTTTGAACTCCATTTTTTCCACGAACTTTTGAAGTCCTCTCATACTCCTCCCCCTTTACAAGCAAGGGTTGGGAACCCTGGTGGTGCAGTGGGTAAAGTGCTAGGTTGCTGACGGAAAAGTTGCTCAGTTAGGAATCCGAATCCACTCTATGCCAGTGGGGTTGCTCAGTTTTGGATAGATAGGGAAATGAAGCTTAGGAAGCTTGAGTTAACTTGGCCAGGGAAAACGTTTGAGTTTGTCTTCTAAATTTCTCTCAGGTCCTAACCCTTCCTCACTGTAATGGCACAGCCAATATTTAAACCCTGATTGGCTAGCCTCCAAAGTGTCTGATTTTATCACCTGGTCATTAGTTAGCTGAGTTCTGGAAGTTCCTTAAGGGTAGGAGCTGGCTCCTATTCCTTTTAGTCCCTCCGCCTGGACATCGATGCTCCACCATCGATTGGCAGTTAGAGGGGCTTAGTTTTCAACCCAAAGTGGGCAGTGGTTGTGAGGATTGCACCCATTTCTCTGGGAGGTAAAAGCATGGGGCTCCAGTTTGGATGATATAGTCTGCTTATTTTTCGAGCTATCGTATTTGTGGTAGGTTCTTCCACCAGCCTCAAACTCGGCACTCACTTGCTTTGAGAGTTCAGTGAGCTCACGGAAAACCCCTGACCTTGTGACACATGCAGTTCCTTAAAGAGCAATCGTTAGCATTTATATCCAGGTCCCTCTTTAGCTTGATACCTGCCTAGAGAAGAAAGCTCGGGGCCACCCAGACAGCGGGGATGCTCTCAGGGTGATTCCCTGGGCTGTCCTCACACACCGTCTGTTGTCCACAGCTTCCTTGGCCTTGGTGGCGACCACAGGAGCAGTCCGTCAGGCCCTTGCCAACCCAGTGGGGCATGAGCTCCCGTGGCATTTTCAGTGGCAGCACATGAATCAGTCCAGCATGCTGAGCCCAAGGCGCTACACCCAGCAGCCTTATTTGCACTTCAAGAATTTTTCGTTTTTCTTTTTCCAGTGAAACATCTTAACAAATATTGGTCTAACCTCCTTTTTCTGCCATGGCAGGGCACACACACACACACACACACACACACACACACACACACACACACACACCTGTCTCACCAAGCCTCTGGCTTCTTTCTCTTGAGAGCCTCATGGTGGCTGGGAAGGTCTACAGACTCCACAGTGCCTGGAAAAGGAAGTCAAAACCAGAAAGGAGACAAGTTTGGGAAGAGCTCAATAGCAGATGTTCTTTGGAGGTTAGATAACTGGCACAATGGACCACTATGCAGAGACCAAGCTATTTCTAAAAGTCACAGAAAATACCCCACACTTTTCCTTTGGGCTCTTAGTACCTCTGGCTTTTATTTCCACCAACATAGCCATGCTTCTTTGAGCTAATTCTTATACCATTTATAATTCTACAAGGAAGGTGGTGATGAAATTCTACTTTGAATCTGGATGCCCTAGGCCTGTTTCAGGCTTTTTTCCCTACCGTGTTCCCAAGACTCGGAGCATTATGCATACTGTCTCCATTAGGAGAAGAAACAACCACGAAACACTTCTACACATTGTGCTTGGAGAACACAGCCCCTGTCTCACATCAGCCCCACATCAACTCCACAAGGTACAACTCTCCTGGACTCCATTTTATTGACGAGGCAACTGAGTTTGAACGATTCTGAAAAGAGCCAAGATTCAGGGTTCAGGAATGGGTGCACATGAGAAACATTTCACTCGGGGCTTTGCAGATGATCAGAACTCAGGGAGTGGTAATTATTATCTTTTTGTGTACCTTGTTGGTAAAATGTTCTTCTCTTTCTAATAAACAGTACATTAACAAGGTGACTCTCATCTTAAATGACAGGAGGGGTTCCCATTGCTTCAAGCTACCCAGTGTCTTCCACGGTCCTGCCTCGCTCCCAGTCTCACCTCTTGCTACTTCCTACTTCAATCTCTCTTCATGGCAAAAATGGTTTTCCATCCTTGGATGCGTGTTATTTTCTCTTATCTCTGGTATTTTGCCCATGGTGTCAGTGTTTCAAACCTACTTACCGTTCCTCGGGAGAAAGAGGAAGCTGTGTGCTCCTGGAAAGAGTTAGTCTCGGAACCCCCTGCCTGGCACCCCCACCCCAGGCAGTTCTACTCGGTCCTTTACGATTGCTCTGAGGGGGATTGATTGAGTTTGGGACCTGTGCCAAATCCCATCCTTCTCCCTTTACTCTCCGACCCATTCCTCCTCAGCCTTGGGTATTTTGTCTAATTGTTCTCAGGGAAGCCATGAAGACCCCTTCAGTTTTCCTCATCGAACGGTGAGTTCAAGAAGCCCTGTTCTTCTTACCTGGGGGAACCAAATTGTTCTTCTCTAATCTCCACTGCCTCCCAAATCCCCAGAGGACAAGGAGCTTCTTGGCTTTTCTTTGGAAGCTCAGGACCCGGCACATGCTGAGTACTCAATACCTATCTCCCAGGAAAGAAAGAGGTCCCCAAACACATCCATTGGTAAGAAACACCACCCAAGCAGAAAGAGAGACAATAGGAGTTTTTAATGCATGGAAAGCCCTGCAGGGACTCTGGGCAGACCCACAGGTAAGCAGGAAGAGGCAGGGGTCCTGCAAACTCAATAATGTCCAAAAAGAAAAAAATAAAATTGTCCTAACAACCCACACTTCCTCACTGCAACAATCCTTGGGGCTTCCTTCCTGGTGCGGAAGAGGTCAGACTGCCTCTTCGGCGTCTCCTCTAGGAGTCTATGGCTGGAAGGAGGCTGACTTCGCCAGGATGGAGAAAAAAGAAGAAAGGCTGCTTGATCTCCACCTAAAAGCTCCTGCCTCTGGACTGACCACTATCCATGAGAAAAGGTTGAAAAAAAGAGACTTAGAAAAAAACAAAACAAAAGCGAGAGAAAGGAACAATTCCAGTGGTTACAAAGTTCTCTGTTCACTATCCACAGGAGAAGAGGTTTGCTTTGGCCTTGCTGGCGCGTGTCCTCGGCCAGGCCCATCCTCAGCTGTCCCCCAGCCCACCCGGCCCCAGGATCCACATGTGTTCTGCTCCCCTTCCCATGGAGAGTCTCTGTGCTCACAGAGGGCAGCACCCTCCCTCACCGGCCCTTGGACTCCCCATACGTGTTTCGGGCCATGGACACCATCTTCTCCTCGCAAGTGATTTTGGTGTCCTTGAGGATGCTGTACCAGACCATGCCCGCAGGCCGGACCTCCTCGCTGCGGCAGAAAAGGTAGGGCACCGTGTCCACCCGGCTCTGTATGTAAGCGCTTCGCAGCAGGCTGGAGCAGTGACGGCTAACCCTCTCCAGTCGCCGCAGGATCAGGTGGGCTTTCCTGGAAGGAAAGAGAGGAAAATGATTAAGGAAGCTCAGACTCAAGAGATAGACCTATGAGTTAGGGAGTCAAGAGCAACAGGTAAATGAGGAGTCCTTGTCCCAACAGAATGGGTCCCTGTTAATGGCTCCAGTCTGTCATTTCCACCATCTGTTCAAATACCCCCCGTACAAATTGTCCTCTTCAAAGCACGGAAATAGTGAGTCTGATGGACGAATGGTCCATGCAAATACCAGCCTCCACGACCCTGCTGGTGCTGGCTCCCACTACCAGCTGCTCTGACAAAGCTCACATCAAAGGGCTTGATCAGTGGGAGGAAAGTGTGGAACGAAACCAAAATCATCAAAAAACAATCCGGCTTCTTGGTCAGAGAGCGACGAGTGGAACCCCTGAGACAGAGCTTGGTCACCTGTGAGGTCTGGGACTGAACTCACCCAACTGGCTTAAGTTTTCAACTAAACACAAAACCGGGCTGTAACAGCAGACACGCTGTGTAAGGCCGGTCAGATGCAAGGCTGATGGCCTGTTCTGTACTCGTTCAACACACTCACAGTTCCAAACGTCTAAACAACTTTTAAGAAGTGTTTTCAATTGTGCAGTGTGTGAAAAGGGAGAGAGGAGTATATCCTTAGATGGAACATTGTCACTTCTGAGATGTGGGAGCCCAACGAGTGAATAACAATGCTAGCCTTAGGACCCGGATCAACCAAGCAGGGATTAGGATCATGATTGAACTGTTCCAACTGATTGACACTTACCCTGTGCTAAATAAACACTAGGTGAACACAATTAATATATCTCAAAAATTCCATTCCGTTTGCACAATGCTCCTAAAGTTATTATTCTTTTTGCTCCTATTTTATAAATGACTGAGGCCGTGGATATATGACATTACTTGACTAAAGGCAAACATTCAGTAAGATGCTGGAGCTGGAGACTTGAATTTAGGTTTGGATTTCCACCACTTAGGCCTGGTCATTCTTAATTGCTTGGCTTTCTTATTACGGAGACTCTTAGACTCCTCTAGTATTTATCCCTAGCTCATAACTTCTCTGTCTTTCCCCTACCCCTTAATCTCATAAATGGTGATTACGGTCTTTTTCTTATCAGGTGATTGTTATTGTTGTTGTTAGGTGCCGTCAAGTCGGTTCCAACTCACAGTGATGCTAAGCACGACAGAACAAAACAGTCCTGTTCCACACCATCCTCCGCAGGGGTCCTCTGCTTGAGCCCACTGGAGCAGTCAAACCATCTTGCCAAGGGCCTGTCTCTCTTTTTCTGGCCCCTCTGTTTTTCCAGGCAGGATGTCCTTCTCCGAGGACTGGTCTCTCCTGACACCAGGTCCAAAGTACGTGAGGCCAAATCTCACTTTGGTGATAACCCTGCTGGTCCTTGAAGTACCAGTGACACAGTTTCGAACATCATGGCAACAGACAAGCCACTGCAGGAGGTCCAGCAGACAAGATGAGTGGTGGGATAAGGTGATGGTGAGATTAAGGATGAGACATGCCCAAAGTCTTGGACAGGCTTAATGAATAATGGCTACCATTATGAATTCCAACTGTTTCCCCCCCAAAATATATGTAGGAGTTGTAACCCCAACCCTATAGATGTACTGTCATTTGAGAAAGGAATTTTCTGTTTGTTATTTCATATTAATGTTGGGGGGGGGTCTTAATCCTAATCACTTTTGAAATATAAAAAGAGCAAATTAGGCAGAGGAGCAAGCACGCACAAATGAGGGGGAGACAAATGCCACCCCGAGATTTCCAACGACTAAGAATCCCGGGGCTAAAGAAGTTGATATGAGAAATCTACCTTCCTCCACAGCCCCCGCAGCTGGAGGGGGAGGGAGGGAGCATACAGAGAGAGAGTCTTCCCCTGCAGCTGGTGCCTTGAATTCAGACTTCTCATCTGAGATAATCAATTTCTTAAAATCACCAACTTGTGGTATTTCCGCTGCAGCAACACTACTAACCTACTGCCACAGAGTCCATTCCAACTCGTAGCAACCCTGCAAGACAGAGGAGAATAGCCCCCCGAGACGTTCGATCTTTATGGGAGCAAACAGCCTCATCTTTTTCCCAAGGGGCAAGTGGCAGATTCCAACTGCAAACTTTGCTGTTGGCTTAACACAACCCATTGTGCCACCAGAGCTCACAGACAGCTAGTCTGCTATGAAATACCACGATGTCGTTTCAGGATTTGGATTATGCGGAATATCACGCTTAGCAAGAAGCACGGTGGGATACGGCACTCACCATTTCACCATTAGACTTTCATTCAGAGCCCCTTTACCCCCGCCCGCACCCTCCCCCCCCTCCCCCCCGCCCCCCAAGGAGAAGTTCAGTGATAGAACTACTCTTGGTTGCACAGAAAGGGAAAGCTAGCGAGGATCTTTGAGATTTCCTAGTCTGGCCTTATTGGCATTAAGACCAGAACAATTATTTATTGTGGGGGCTGGCCTGTAGAATGTTTAGATACATCCATGACTCCTATTTCCTAGATGCCACTAGAATATCCTTTCTCCATTATGGCAATAAAAATATCTCTAAACATTCCCAAATACTTATCTTAGGAGGAAAAAAATCACCCTCAGTCCAATTCTCTTTAAAGATATAGAAACTAGCGCTTAGAGAGGGACAGACTGACAGTCATTGAGTTCATTTCGGTTCACAGCAATGAGACAGGTAGACCGGCTCCAAAAGGTTTCCAAGAACATAAATCTTTACCAAAAGGGACAGCCTCGATCTGAGCAGCTTGTGGGTTTGAACTGCAGACCTTTACTAACCCACTCTGTTAACAGCCCAATACTAACCCACTACACTACCACGTGTCATGTGTAGAGGGAAGGGAATATCCCTTTCCCAAGTCACATCACAAGTCAACTTCAGTGTCAAGGGGTGTGTCTCCATGTGAAACCCACTCTTCCATGCATTCCAGGGCTCTCACTGTGCCTACGAATCTTATCCTGGTAAACGTCTCTCCTGCTGTCCTCTCCATGCCCCTCTGAGACCCTGGGAGGGAAAGTGTTTTATGACAACAGACCCCACAAATGGGAGACTGTGTAAGGCACCTGCATGGCGGCTGCTAAAGGCATGGGTTTATGTGTATACATTTTGTGGGAACGATTTATGAGGTGCCTTTCAAAAAAGTCCTCTTTGTATAGTTCAACACTTAGGTGGAATATTTCCTGAGGTGCCAAGAATTCATAGCTTCATAATCACACTCGACGTGCTGCTCTACCCACACTCCTCTCTCCTCGCTGGTAAAGGCCACCCCAAGAGGAAACCCGAGGCCTGGAGTTCCCACCCCTGCCTGCTCTTGCTCTGTTTTCTAACAGCCCCATGGCCTGGGCAAATTGACTTTACCATCTCTCAACTAGTTGCCTCGTTGGAAAAATGGGACTGGTGTGGGGTTGAAAGAGATAGTCAGTCACCCACTGCAGGTATGCCCAACATTTATTTCATGGCAGAGCTCCTGGTTTGATGGAAGGACGGGCACAGGGAAGAGTCAATACAGGTGGGAAAAGCAGGGATAAAAGGAGGCACACATGTTATGGGTGAAGAGGAAGGTGGGAAGGCAGGATTGTGGATATCTAAGAAGGCTTCCTAGTGTGAGTGAGTCTCAAAAACTCACAGGAGTTAAGAGGAGGCGAAAGGTCTTAGAGGCAGGATAGATAAGGGAATGGAGATAAAAGAGTGCTTAGATCTTTTCAGAATTTATGGCTAGAATACAGTCAGCAAATGGGGCATCAATGTGATGAAACTGGAGAGATGGGCACTGGAGCTTTGAAACCAAGGTGCTGTGGGTGTAATGTTATAGCAGTTGGACCCTACCGAGTCTGACTGGGGGGCTGAAACCCCAGCCTAGTCACTTGCTTGCAGTGTAATCTTAAATTGTATTGCTGGTTGTGCCTCAGTTTCCTAGTCCATCAAACAGGAATAACTGTACCAACTGTGAAGGGTTGTTTCAAGATTTAAATAAAAATCCATTTCTAAGAAGCCCCTAACAAATGCTATGTTTTCCTGTTTTTCTTGAGGAAAAATGGAGGTGTTATTGAAGGGTTTCTTGGAAGAAAATGACAGGTGGAATAGATTATTAAGAAAGATTCCTGGAAATAGAGGAAAGAGCTGGGAGGAAACAGGCGTTTATAGAGGTCTA